CCCGCCACCCTCCAGATCGAGCTGCACCCCTACCTGCAGCAGGTCGAGCTCGTCAAGCTGGCCAAGCACGAGGGCATCGTCGTGACCGCCTACTCCTCCTTCGGCCCCACGGGATTCATCGAGCTCGACATGGACAACGCCAAGACCGCCGCGCCCCTCATGGAGCACGACGCCATCAAGGCCATGGCCGCCAAGCACAACAAGACCCCCGCCCAGATCCTGCTCCGATGGGCCACCCAGCAGGGCCTCGCCGTCATCCCCAAGACCGGCCGCCCTGCCGTCATGCTCCAGAACCTTGACTGCTTCAGCTTCGACCTTGACGAGGAGGACAACAAGCGCATTGCCAAGATGGAGCTGAACTTGAAGTTCAACAAGCCTACCAACGTGAGTTTTAAAGACAAACACGCTGCAGCCCCTAAAAGCAGTTGCTAACAAATTTGCCATACAGTACTTCTCTGCAGACAACCTCTGGATTTTCGGTTAAGAAATATCAATAGAGAAAAAAGCTAGTTCGGTTAAGGGTTAAAGGAAGCATTCATATATCACATACCATATAGCAAGGCAAATTAAAAAAATACTGTAAAAATCCGGATTGAGGGTATCACTTGACTTGTAAATTGACTTTCCATAAAAATGGGCTCTTTCGCCTTTGCTATAGTAGAGGGGAGGGTTAGTCTAAACTGTCGAAACAAACCTGGTCTCGACCATGCAAGGTTGCATCTCTCCATTTCCCTTTAATAAACCACAGAACGCCATGCTCGTAAATGCGAAACGAGATAATCCGGAAATCTCCGATTCTATACCCTAACGAAAGCTGTGTTGCGATGTTAGACCATGTCAAGTGTATTGGGAAAGGGGAAGTTCGACGTACTAGCATCAATCTGCTTGACTTGAGGCAATGCCAGCCGCACCTTGTTTCTGTACAAAGCAGGACCACGGAGCTGCAGCGGGTTGCCCTCGAAATAAACCGTGTTGAGGTTTTCCTTGTCCTTGAGCTCCTTCTCGACATCTCCGAAATCAGCGATGAGATTGTAACTGGCCCAAACCTCCTCCAGCTCCTTCAGACCACCGAGGCCCTTGAGACTGGACACCTTGTTGTTCGAAATGTCCAGGACCCGAAGCTTCGGGTTCTCCTCAATGCCCTCTAGAGACTCCAACATGTTGTGGGAAATGTAGAGTTCCTCAAGACTAGGTACGTCCTTGAGAGGTGACAGATCGCTGATGCGGTTTGACTGGATACTCAGCAATCGCAGATTCGGCAAGCCCCCCAGCCCGGTCAGCTCGGTGATTTTATTCTTCGCAAGCCATAATTCCTCGAGAGCCGTGAGGGTCGAAAGATTTTGGATTTCCCGGATCCGGTTGGAGCCCAGCTCCAGGTTCTTAATTTTCGTAAGACCCTCCAAGCCCTCGATTCTGCTAATTTTATTTGCCACGAGGAACAGATCCTTGAGTTCCGTCATGTGGCCGATGTTCTTGATGTGCTTGACCTTGTTGAAGCTAAGATCTAGGTTCTTGAGCTTGGAAAGTTCGTCGAGTCCGCGCATATGAGAAATGAGGTTGTCGTAGAGATCCAAGTCTTCGAGGGTGGCGCCCAAGCTCTGTAATCCATCTAGCTCCTGGATACTATTTTGTCGAAGGCAGATTCGGGCCACGTTCTTGAAGCGCTCAAGTCGGAGGGACGCTATCGAGCGAATACGAGAGTGAGTGCACATGATTTCGTCCGTCTCTGGATCTTCGCCGTCCAGGAGATCTATAAAGAAGGTTTTGTGTTAATAAGCCAAAGGCTGTGTATGTGTGATTTCAGAAAACGAAGCATCTTACCCTCATCGGCTGCAATCTCTTCTCCTTCCATCACATTCTCATCATCCGAGTACTCCGGGTCGGATAAAGCTTCTGGGTTCGACAAGAGAGCTGATTTCGGAACACGAAGCTTCCCATCCCAGCCTTTGCCATTCGTGATGCGCGGGCTAGTCTCGCCTTCGTCTCTCGTGACGTTGTGATCTGCCGGCACATCGATATGGGCGTGGCCATCGTTGGCTTTATCCTCGGAGCTGGTCATCGTTGCGGGGGCTCGAGTGACGCCACAAGTTCGATGTCGAGATGCTATGCTCTGGTGCGTAGCCTTGGAAGGGACGGAGGAAACAGAGAAGACTGCGTGAGAACGTGTCACGAAAGTGTAATGTAGAAGGCAAAAAACATTCTTGTCGGCTCGATAGGTGGGGGAAGTTTGTAGGCAACCGTTCGACTAATTGCTTCGTCAGGGTCACTAATGCGGGAGGGGCTCGGCCACTGGAACCCTGTCGGACTCGGACCAACCCATTGTGCCTGGCAGTACATTGAATATGCCTTGTCTGTCATTGTCCGAAATACCGGCAACTTCAGACACAATACATCTTATTTAATTTAGTTTTATTGAGATATTCCGACCCTATTGCTTCCATTATTGTCACCAGTACAATGCCACATCAAAGCCCTTCAGCCTATCCTCTCGCGCCCACGTTCTCGCATGCCTAAGGGAGTGACATCAGCTCCAGGGGCCCCCACTCCAGCCAAATACCGCTTTTGGGTAGAAGCTGGATCACTGTGTTGTCCAGCGCTACTGCAACCTTCTGACATCAACACACCTTACCCTAAATATGAACCCCAACTTTTTTCTCACATGTCCTTTCTTGACCTCATGAATGCAGTCTACGGCCCAGTCAGAGGCGACCATGTCATGATATTGTTGTTCGCCAAGTAATCCACAAAATTGCCTATCCTTTATACTGTGGGGCACCGTATTGGGCTGTCGAGGTCGATGTAATGCCAAAGAGTCGTCAGAATGGTTGCACCACCACTGTTAAGACATTTGCCTCTCAGCCGACGACATTGGCCAAAGTTAATACAGGTTCGCCGACAATGGCGGCAGGGGCTGCTAACTAACCCTCAGAAGCCACAATTGGCCAGACAGCTACACAGCATGCAATGGGCTGCACCGCCGCTCATTCTCACGGGACTTTTCCTGGCCTTGTGGAGTTGGAAATGTATGATGATGGTCTTGTTTCAGAACACCATCATATACAATCCGTTCATGCCGCCGAATGCTAGGAGCATGAAAATCGAAGACTTTAAAAAGCAATGCCGAGGGACGCAATGGAGAGAGGAGCGAATACGCTCATTGGATGGCACTGAGATAGCGTTATGCATAAGTGATGACCCTGCGCCTGCTGCTGGAGTCGACCCAAAGACACCTGTCTACATTCTTTATTTTCAAGGTTGGATACTCTGCTTAGCCACTGGAGAAATAAGAGAAATTATGTCTAATGTACTGAGACTGTAGGGAATGCTTCTTCAATTCCTCCCCGACTTCCGGACTTATCATGGGTTATCCGAACCCTTCGTGAGGAAAGTAAGACTGTGAGTTACACAATGGTGTGTTTGAGCTATCGCGGGTATTGGACCTCGCACGATCGGCCCTCGGAGACTGGCATAAACAAGGACTCTGAGGCCGCTTTGCGTTGGATATCGTCATTGCATCACATGCGAGACCCGGAAAAGCAAATGCCCGACCCTGTCACAGTTCTATATGGGCAGAGCGTTGGGTGTGGCTTTGCAACGAATCTGGCTGCAACTACCGAGACCATGCCAATTCACGGCCTGGTGCTTGAGACGCCGTTCGAGTCTACCCGTGCTATGCTGAAGGCGCTGTATCCGCAAAAATGGCTCCCGTACCAACATTTGTGGCCTTTTTTGCGAAATCATCTTGACACCTGGACAAACATAGGAGTTATTGCCTCACGTTCCCCACCGCCTGGGTTTGGTGTTTCCATTGTTGAAGCTGCCAAGGATGAACTGGTACCGTCGGAGCATGGTGATCGCCTCTACAAACGGTGTCAAGATGTTGGCATTCCGGTTGAGCGGCAGAAGGTGCGCGGTGCCTATCACAATGATGCGATCGTCCGCATGCAAGGCAAAACCGCAGTTGTTCACTCCATCGCCTCAGCCGTTGCAAGGATTGCCCAAAATGGTCCGCGGAATGGCGGCATTGTCACTAAGTGACCAACTACGGTATTAATAAGGACCACATAATTAGCAAACAAATGTCACATCCACTCAACTCAACGCCAATGCACGCCTATCTGTCGTCCCGGGATGGTGGCACCTCCTTCCCCGAGGGTGTGGCCCAAGGTACTTGCGCACCCCAGAATATCTGCACTGTGGGCAGCCGGGTCCAAATCCTACGGCGCTGCTATCAAAAGCAAGCTGATTACCACGGCGGGTTCTCAGCCTGGGCAGCCTTGCCGGCTAGTGGCCATTCAGGGCCACCTTTTCGTTGTGCTACAGAGTAGGCTGGGAGGCTATCAAATGTTCCCCACCCCGGAGCGTGCATCTGCGTGAAGAGCGACACCTCAAGGGATTTGCTGGAGGGCGAACCACAGGGGTGGGACGACAATACGGGCAAATGTCATTCTGGAGATGGCGAAGATCCAAATCTGGGATTTGATCCGCTATTCGTGAAAAAGTTCCTTCAGCTTGACAATCAGAAGTGCCGGAGTGTGCCATGCTCATGCATGTATCGCCTATCTGAGCTCAACTTGAAGGCAGCTTGTAATACAAGAAGGTGCTATTGCTCGGCTGTGCTGATATGGCTCAAAGCGGCGACTCACACATCTCCCCTTTTCTCGCCGGACCAATCCCTGGGGGTTGCCTCGCAGGCTTCCTTTTGGCAACGCAGCTAGGTATGACTCGAAAGCCTTGCTGGCACCCGTTGACTCAGGCAATGCCTGTTGGGAGTACAGTGCAAATCACGGTGCACGGGGCGTCTTACAGGGGCTGAAATGATATAATGGACTGCACGTGATATCGTGTCAGGTAGGCGACACTAGGATGTGGGTCCCCAGGCACTTTACGCGGCCTAGGCGCGTCTCAGCGACCAACTATCACCACATTCACTTTAGGTGCACTGGACGGCTTATTTCGCAGGGGCCTACAGGGGCAAGAGCGTCGGAAATCATGGCTGCATGGAGCTTTGGCCGCCGCGACTGTATAAATATCCGGCTGCCTCGCCCTCCTGCGCAGTTTTCTCGCTCTGGTCCTTCTTGATTCATGTAGGCAGCAAGGTAAGTCTCGCCGGACGAAGAAAAAAATCGCAACGACGCAATTTCAGCTGCATCCCAATTGAAGAATCTCCTTTCTCTGTCTTTTGTCGCATTATATTTGATACCCCAATCCGCCAAATTTGCTTTGCTTTTCGCCACTCTAAACGCATACCCAATTCCACCCACCATCCATCCATCATGTTCACCAGCAGTCGACGACAGTCAGTGAGCGGGAGCTTCTCCAAAGGCCACAAATCGAGCAAGGTGAACAAGTCTAGTTCGTCTTTCAGTAAGGATAGCGGCGTCTCAAAGCGCCGCCATGAGTCCCGTCAACGTAGGCCTACGACCGCTTCTACCTCAACCACCGAAGACACTATCATGAGCAAGTGAGTTGTTTTGATCTTTATCCTCCACAATATCTATCAATAACTAACAAACTTTTTCGCAGTGGTTCGTCTTCGTCGATCGTCACTCTTGTCGTTGGAGCTGAGCAACGTCTTTTCGCTGCCCACGAAGACATCCTTTGCGCAAGCCCATACTTTGCCACCGCGCTTCGAAACGGATACATGGACCCGGCGACGAAGAGGATCGCACTACCTGAAGAGGAGCCGGAGATCTTTAGCTCGGTCCTCGAGTATCTATACAAGGGCGATTACTTCCCTCGCCTCGTCAAGCGCAGAAACTCTTATGAGCTGGAGTCGGATGATGATCGCCGGGCTGTGGAAAGCACCATCTATCTTCACGGTATCGAGGGCGACCTTCTCAAAGATACTGTCATCTATTGTACTGCTGAGAAGTACGGACTGAGTGAGCTGAAGAAGCTGGCTCTTCGGAAGCAAGGCCTCCGTGAGTATTTCCCAATCTCATCGCCACATCTACACTTGTTTCTAACATCACAACAGAGTCCGGAATACAGTGCAGTACTATTCTTGCCTCGGCTAGATATGCTTACGCAAACACTCCCGACAACGACTCTAAGCTCAGGGCTCATTATCTTGCACTCATCATCCGCTCGCGCAGCACTTTCAAGCGCAGTGGCACGATGCAGCTTGAGATGTACAACGGCGGAAGCCAACTGTTCTTTGATCTCTTCGTGGCTTTGAGCAACCATGTCGACGACATCTCTTCTTCTTCTTCTTCGTACGTATTGTCTCATGCACTCATATGACATGCATCGATTAACATTTGAGAAAGCACCCCCCGCTCCAACCGTCACATTTAACAATCGCCGAGTCCCGGCTTGTTATGATGATGTGATTTAATACCTGCCGGGTTTCCTATTCGAGCTTTTACACACCCAACAAAAAGCACAAAAAGATTCACGGTCATTAACGGCGTTGACGAAGAACTGTATTTTTTCCTGTCACTTTTACTTGTTTTTTCCCTTTGTCTTTCGATTTTTTTCTTTTCTTTTCTGACTATACTACCATCCATGTATAAGTATTTGGTGAGGCGAACGGGGTTTTTCTGTTCTCTGGCGCACGGGTTTGGTGTTATTGGCTTTACAAGCAATTCTTCTGGGCACCATGAATAATTTGGCAAATGCGGCCCCAGAAATCATGACGAAGAGTTGGGAGAGACTGCTACTGACGGAAATAGACATACGGAAACACTGCTTTATTCTTAATTTTTAAACCTTCTTCTTTGCATTATAATTGTCTGCTTTTTCTGGAGTTTGTTTCCCATAGGCGGATTCGGAAGACTGGATGGTGTGCAGGGATATCGGGCTGGGACGACCGTGAAAAGTGACATGACCCCATCCATCGGTGCCTCTGCAAACCATATCGGCCTTGCCAAGACAGGGCGAACTAAGACCCTGGTTTGGCGTGAAACTGAGTTCGGTCTTGGGCCGGGTGTGTTTCTTGCATTGGGAGGCGAGGAGGGGGGGAGGCCTGAGCGGGCTGATAACCACCTCAGGCATCCTGAGAGCGTGAATCCCACCTTGGCAACCTGGGACTTATGTGAACGATAAATTAACAGCCTGCCCCCGTCAGAGCCGATCTTTAATTTGGAACATGACTGCATTCGTACCCGAAAAGCACGCCTTGTCCCCTATGATGATGTACGCCGAGTTACTCGAAGCACCGGTTCAGCATCAGACAGTGAGGGGTCGGAACTCCATTGCCACACTCGGAGACGGATGGAAAAAAGTAATTATTTTCAGCTATCAGAACGCACGGGCAGCATCGAGCTGAGCAAGTCTTAATGTGATACAACTTCGCTTGTCGCTATGTTCACGCCCTGGTGCCCAACCAACTGCAGTTCCCATCACACTGATGTGACTCTCAAAGTTTGTGATGCCCCTCCCATGTCTGAGATAATCCATTAAAGCGGCCGCCGGAGAGCTTCCAATCACGGGAAGTTTCGGGCTCGTTGCATATTTGAGACTAGGTCATACTCCAGTGCCGGGAAAGGCGCCCTTCTTTGATAATACGATAATCCCTCGTTCCCTAGCGATATAGCCTTTCATAAGATCCTAAAAAATAAGGTGCACAATATTAGTCACATGTCTCCCCGAAAAATATAATAAAATAAAAAACCAGTCATAGAATAGTCATAGGATGCGCGAATGCAAGACGTAAGGCGGGCTGTTGCCTCTTCCTGTCTGCAATGTAGTAGCACGTTGCAGCAGGCGGGCGGCCACGAATCCCACGATTGCCTTGATGATAACACAACACCCTCTTATGACGTGGCATCCGCACCCGCATCGCAGGTTCATCTTACCTTATAGATCATGTTGGCCAGCAAACACTCGACCTCATCGGGATCGACTGTCTCGCCCCCGCTACCCATGCTAATAGCAGTCTGGAACTCGGCCAGAGGCACACGGGTGCGCCTCACTGGTGCTGCATTTCCCTCTTTGGGCTCTTCGAACCCTCCGTTGACAAAGACCTTGCGCAGGAGGTTGCGCAACGCAATGTCACGCCCGCGCTCCAAGGTCAAGTATATGCGCCTTTTGACAAACTCGTCCTCTCCTTTCTGAAGCGCTAGGTCAAATGACCGTAAGTCCCCTCGTCTTATGCATTGTGCGATAGGTAAGAATAGCTCTTGCAGCCGGGGGTATGGCTCCAGAAGCTTTTTAGTTGGCAGAACGTGACTCGTTAGCAGACGACAGGGGATCAGATATATCAAGATTCGCCTATAGCAGTCAGCCGTCAAGTCTTTTCCGGAAGAGTCTAGCTATTGGATTCTGAGATATCAATGACTCACTCGATATTTGCCTTAGAACTTCGAGGACAAAGAAGCCAGGCCTCTGTGAGATGCTTATTGGCCTGTCAATGACTAATTAGCATGATCTGGCAGCACATCGGTAACAGCGCTTGGTGACCACAAACCTCGACATAGTTCTCTTCCAAGAAGAACAGCACACCCTCGTAGTATTTAAAAGTAACCCGCTGAGATTTTGGGAATGACTCCAATGGAGGCATGTCACCCCGGTCATTGAACGCTTTGAGACTAGTGAGGATTGTGCGAGAGAGTGAGGCTGAATTAAGCTTGAAATATGTCTTGAAGAGTAAGTTGATCACGAAATAAATGCCCCATTTTCTCGATTCTTCTAAGGGTGCTCTATGGGAGATGTATTAGTGTCATGAGCATGTATGCTGCGAGAGAGGACTCACCTATCGGTCAAACACAGTGTGAAAATTCGCTTCAGATGCTGCTCGCAGTCCCTAAGCTGACTTTGTTTGTCGGCATCGGCATCGAAATCATCCTGTATGATGGTTGTACCAGCTTGAGAGCGACTCGAATTCCGACTGCGCTCCTCGTCTGATTTAATAGCAAAGAGCCTCAGATACTTACCAACCATGTAAAGACTCGGTATTGTCCAAGCTTGAAATCCATGGTTATTGTACCCCCGAATGAGCATAGAAGTCAGATCCTTCCAAGCGTCATAGACCTTGGTCCAGGAAGACTTTTGGGATTATCAGCTCTGTGTTAATGGAGAGGCGGGAGAGGCTGAGAGCTCACCTTGCCACTTTCGCCAGCCAAAATCTCACCAATAGCCTTCCAGTAGGCCGTGTACACCTCAACCCAGCCATTCAGCTCGGTATTATCTAAGCTGCTGTGATAAGATGCGCTTGCACTTTTCTTAATAAAGTGTTTGATGGTCCCTTGAACACTTTGGTGATTGGCACTCTGCCAGACGGAGCTCAGCATTTGTGGTTGGTTGGCGGGAGGCACAGGAGACAGTGTCTGGGCGATCATGTAGCCATTGTGAGCCGCGTGAGCTTTGGCGAAAGTATCAAAGAGCTCATTCATGATTTACGAAGTGGAGAGTAAGATTAGGAACGGCGATAGACGTGAAGTGAACGCGATCTTGAACTCCAGAATACGTAGGAAATGAATTGGATCCTAGATGCTGATAAAAGAGCGGGGTGGGCCGATGCCTTTCCAAGCCTCTGCAAGCTTTAAGCTGTCGTTGATACCGCGTTGCAGGTCACTAGGTAAGAGGCACAAGGCAGTTTTGGTCTTACAGTCGTTTCATTCTTTGAAATCTAAGATACAAGCTCCAAGTACCGACTTGCCTTGATGGAGTTCACCTAAACAAAGGGTACGTACCTCCAGTCTCGTCCTTGGCGTAAGGGCAGCGCTGATTGGCCTACAAATTTTGGGTAGGAGCGGCCCCACAAGAAAGAAAATGGAATTTGGGCTCGCAGCCCAGAAGTGTATCGCACGTGACTAGAAGAGCGGTGGAGCCAGGTCGGAGCCAATCATTGGCGGGACTGAAGCCCTGCAGCCCACCACTTAGCTAGCCCTCTCCATCATCGCACACAAAAATTTCCCAGCGAATCTTCTAACTTCGGACATCAACAACTAACCAGCAGTTGACGACATAATCCGCCGTTAAAGTGAGTAACAATCCAGGTCTTGATATTAATCAATCGAATACTAACGAATAATTCAGATGGGTAAGTGCTATCTGTTTTCTCCCAGTTCATTCCTGGATTATCCCTTTCGCGACTCCTCCGACCACGACGACGCAATTGCAAATTTACTCCAGCATGGATTCACTCTTGAGGCCAATCTGCTTGTTGGGGACTGCCGTATATCGAAGGGGAGGACGGATAAAATTTAACTCGACAACAAATTCGATTCAGCATTCGACTTGAACCGCCTCAACCACAATTTTGACACCCTACGATATCTGGCCCCTCTGTCGACACACGCCTCTGCTATGGAATCTACCTGGAATTCGAGAGTGCACTGGTGCTAACAGGCTGTTTCTCAGGTCGTCTCCAGGAATACGAGGTCATTGGGCGCCATCTGCCCACAGAGGCTAACCCCTCTCCTGCTCTGTACCGCATGACCATCTTCGCTCCCAACGAGACGGTCGCCAAGTCCCGTTTCTGGTACTTCTTGCGCGGTCTCAAGAAGGTCAAGAAGGCCACCGGTGAGGTCGTCAGCGTCAAGGCTGTATGTATTGTCTAAAAATTGTTTCTCTGGGCCAAGCCTCTGTGCTCACACTTGCCAAATCAGGTCCACGAGAAGCACCCCCAGAAGGTCAAGAACTTTGGCATCTGGATCCGCTACGACTCCCGCTCCGGCACCCACAACATGTACAAGGAGTACCGTGAGGTCTCCCGCACTGATGCCGTCGAGTCCCTCTACTCCGACATGGCCGCTCGCCACCGTGCCCGCTTCAGGTCCATCCACGTACGTCAAACCAGTCAAAACGGCCCTATGATTCTCAGTCAAGGCCGACCGAATTGTAGATCGACATGGAGCAGAAATACTGACAGGCGATATCTAGATTCTCCGCGTCGTCGAGATCGAGAAGACCGAGGACATCAAGCGTCCCTACATCCGCCAGCTGATCACCAAGGATCTCAAGTTCCCTCTGCCCCACCGCACCTCCCAGCTCACCAGCAAGAAGGTCTTCAGCGCAAAGCGACCTTCCACTTTCGCTTAGATTTTTTTCGGGTACTGAGCAGGGTAGGGCTGGCTTTGCGGGTGTTAACTACGGATTACGGAAATATCAACTGCATTGGCCTGGTAACATGGGCTACGAATGAAAAACCAAAAACTTTTTTTAGCAGCAAGGACCGTTCTGTTCGCACATGTGACGTGATGTACTGTATCAATGATTGACCCATATGTGACATCGATATTTTTGCTATTAACTATAGTGGGGAGGTCCGTATATACAACCTTTACCATCATCATGAATACGTAGACTCGCCAGTGCCACTGTCCGGTGAGTTCTCCTTATTGGTATCATCAAGGAAATCATTCCAAGGGCCCATATCAAAATTCATCTCATTTCCAAGACTCTGATCAAAGCATAGGTCCGTCGGCTCCAACAAATAATCGAACAGAGACGACGGGTCCATGTTCGGATCTTGCGTGGTTGTGTGGCCCGGCGTGGGCGCAGGGTCCATCGACATCTTGGGATCCATCTCCAGATGGCACGGGAGCAGAGTTCCCATCCCAGAGTTGTTCTGTGCTATATGCGCCGACTGCGGGGGTTGCGCATCAGCAATCTGCAAATCCTTCATCATCGAACCGGCCCGGGCCTCCTTGGCCTTCCTATGTAGTTTCCGGATCGGACGCCACAGCGAGCCCTTGGACGAGTCTGCAACCGAGTGCTTCCAGGTAGGGAACACGCGGTCGATGACGGTCCATGCCTTGTCGGCGAGCTCGCCTTCGGTCTGGATGCATAGCTCGGCGAGGGCGACGGCTAGAGGATGCCATTGCATGTAGCCTCTCGTCCACCATGCGAAGCGGTCTGCCCAGAACCCGCTCGTCATTGCCTCGACGAGTTCCATGACAGAGATTGCCGTGCGAAGCATCGTCTCCCGCGAAGCCCGCAGGGGTATGATGGTGGACTTGGCCGAGAAGGGATATTGGACAATGAGCCAGAGTTTGAGTATAACGATCCGTGCCACCTCGGAAGCGTACACCGAGACGATGTTAGATGGGTTCGCAGTGTGTATAAAAGCGTCCTCGAGAGAACGGACATGATTGATAAGTTCCTCTTCGGTATGCAGGGGCTTCTCAGATGCTGCCACTTCGGCAGCCTGTGGGTGGGCGATGTATCCAAAGGTAGATGAGCATCGAGCAGTACAGATTGTAAAGATATTCTCTGCGGGGCTTGGTTGGGGTTTAATCGGCCCCGTCATGTTTGGACCGAAAAGTTCATCGTCAAGGTTGGTTGGTAGAATCGTATTGTATGAGTTCTTGTTAAGAATAGAATCAGAGCCACGGTCCTCAGCACCGCGGATATCGAGAACGACGATGAAATACCAGAGGCGGCGCCTCATCTCAGCCTCGAATGGAGGAAAGTTGTGGCCGTCACCATCACGATGAAGGTTCAGAGTCTGTCCTAGGCGAACAACCATGGAAGTGAGAACCCAGACGGAGCGGCTAAGCTCATAGCTGCGGAGCATCGTCTAATTAGGGTACAACGTTAACCAAAGCACTCGATTGAAGGTATTGATAAGAAACAGACTGATTGTACAGTTCACGAGAGAAGAGAGTGGGACAGAACGTACAACATAGATAGTTACAGCTTGGACAAGGGTTAGATTAGGGTTGGCGAGGTAGTCAGCCGCAGCGAGAGCCCGCTCGGCATGTATACGGTATTTGGAGGCGAGTTCACTTTTCCGCTGGCCAAGCTGTACGAAACAGGCTTCGTCGCTTAGAGATGTTACGGCTGCGAAGTATATGCAGAAGAGGAGGGCATGCTTTGAAGGGGATATAGTTCGTGAAGAGGAGTTGGCAAAAATTTGAATCTCCTCGGTGAGAGAAGGTCGATGGAGAAACTTCATGAGGGGGTCAACGTTACGGAGGTATATCGACCACAGTCGGAGCAGCATATCACGGGGCGGGTGTGATGGCTGGTCGCGCTCGTGGTAACTCGGGTTTCCAAAGAGGAACCCTGAAGGGTGGTTGCCGGCCGTGTCCCAGTAATTGGTCTCGCGCGACTCGGGCGAGGTTTCGTCGGCCTCGTCATCATCATCATCAGCTTCCGAAGGTTCGTCGAGAGCATGCTTGATGCCCTCAACTTCCTCGCACAGATGTCCCCAGAATTCAACACTCAGGTAACGCGAGGCTGTGTCGGCAATATCGGTCGGTATCTCCCTTTCCAAGATTGGTGACGGCCCTGTCACTGGCACCGGCACATCCGCCGTGGTCTTTTTGCCAGTCGATTGAGTCGGAGCAGCACGACTAGCAAGAGCCGCATTGACTTCCTTCAACTTGGCGGGGTTCGCCTTTCCCACAATATTCTCCAGGCGGCTGATGCGATCAAGCAGCTCGCTCTGCCGCGGGCGGTGGGCTCGTCGTGTGGGTTTTCTCGAAGGGTACTCGCACTCGGTATTGGCGCCCAAGCACTGCGTGCAGACAGGGGCGACTTTGTCGCATTTGATTTTGCGCTGTCGGCAGCTCACGCAGCTGAGGACCTTGGGTCTCTTCTCATCGCTCATGATGGGCGCAGTGCGTAGCACGAGAACATAGGTGAGGTCGGGTTCGGCAGTCGATTGATTGGCTAATCAGGGCTCAATCCTGTCCCTTCGGTCCGCGGGGGAGAATGACCATTCACGATCAGATAATTTGATGCGCCTGGCGGGGGTGAATTCTGGTGGTGGTGGTTCGTCCGAGCGTTGAGTTCAGAGTGGACCCCACATGATGACGGACATGACCGGCACAGCACGGCACTTCTTCGCCCTGGCAAAAACCTCGGGGTGACAGGCATCACGTAGGGCTTAGTCGAGTGAAGGTCGAGATGTCGCTCGCCGAGTATGACTCATTTGCCGGCGAGAGATCTTGACTTAAAGTCCCTCCGCCGTCTCGGCAGTCAGTTCCAGATGCTGTAAGCGTAGCACCAGACAAGAATTATCAGCCAGCTGGATAAAACTCGCCGTTACGGAGCAGTAAATCACCCACATACCTACCCTAAAGGTCTCCGATCACCATTCCGTTATTCTCGCTCCCATCAGACAGCTCTGTACACGGACATGGCTACTCCTGCTCCCACTGCCCGTGAATGGGTCGTGGTAAAAACGACGCTCCCCAAACAGCCGTTCCCATCTCTGCAGGAACGTCCCGAGGTGAGGAGTGCTCGTTTGGTAATTCGGCCATTCCAAACCAGCGATGTTGTAGGATTGAACGAATTGCGATCACAGCCCGAGGTCATGCAATGGACCATGCAGGGCGTCCCTGACGCAGACATAACGGCCACTGAGAAGATTCTTGCTCTCAAGATGCCCCCGCATGACCTCTCCAACTTTGACTACGCCATCTGCGTTGCTGAGACTGGCCAATTCATCGGCGCGGGAGGCTCTTTCATGAGGAAGGGTGAGCTAGGGTGGCCAGTCTTTGGCTACATGTTCCGAAAAGAAGCCTGGGGCAAGGGATATGCGACGGAGTTTGTCAAGGCATTTCTCGATATGTGGTGGGCTCTGCCAAGGGAAGAAGTAGAGGTCGAGGTCGAGAAGAGCACCGTTCCAGAGGCAGGGGAGACAAGCGATATGAGGGCAGAGGAGCGTCTGATTGCAGTGACAGTCACGACTAATCAGGGTAGCCAAAGGGTGCTGGACAAGGTCGGCATGCCCCTGGTTAAGATCTGGGAGGAACAGGATCTACACGATTCGACAGCGATGGAGACCTTGTATGGGTATGCAGCAAAGCGGCCTCTACAGTGATTGATGGCAGATGGGAGTGGGGTCTGCCTGGCTTTGTATCGGACGGAGAGGGCGGGGATGAACCGGTAGATCTTGTTACAATTTGATGGGAATTGTCCGATTCATGTGGTGCTGGATGGGTTGGTGGATGCAACGGCGGACTCATCGCGGTGAACGGAATTGGGAAATGTCCGGCCGCTTTCCGTTGGTTCAAAGTACGGCGTCGGACAAAAGTCACAATGACGCAGATGGCCGAGGGGTACTATAAAAGAATAGAATTGCCTTTACTCGTGAAATTCAGATATTGCAAGTCCCAAATCACACAATAAGATCATCTAATCAATACTATTTCACATCATGCCACCTTCTGCAGTAATGTCTGTCGCTGTTCCTCCCCCAGGCGCTCTCGTCGCTGTGGCCACCGGTGTCATCGGCGCTGGATGGCTATCCGGTATGTCTACGAATTTTTCTTCCTTGCCTGCTCACTATCGTTAATTTGCTTCTCAAGGTACAATTGCAAACTTTTCTATCATCGGGATGCCCACGGCGCAAAGCATCCCTCAAGCTGCGCTGGAGATCTGGCACGGCATGTTCACCAGAGGCATGGCCGCGATGCCCAAGGTTGCTGGCACGGTTGCTCTCGCCTATGCCTACGCTGCATATGACTCACATAGCCGTGGCACAGACTGGAAGGGATATCTCACAGCTGCTGCTTTGGTCGTTTCGATTGTGCCTTTCACGATTGTATTCATGTCTCCCACCAACAACACGTTGTTGGCTGCTGTTAGTGGCCAGTCAGTTCTGTCGCAGGCGACTCTATCAGAGCTCATTCGGAAATGGAGCTTTTTGAACATCACTCGAAGCTTCCTCCCACTTCTCGGAGCGGCAACGGGCTTTGTATCCTTTTTACGCAATTGAACTCGAAAATAGCTATCTGTCTAAGGACGTAGCAGCGACGACGACAGCCCTATGTGGCTGGCTTAATTAGTACACGACAGAAATGAGGATAGTAAAAGAACAACCGATTCCTCTCCAATCATAAAAGTAGCCCTCGTGACGTATACTGGGCTTCCGTGCCGATGATAGTGACTATTTCTTCTTCTTCTTCAGCCGCTCGTACTCCTTCAAGGCATCCTGGCAGCCGACGAGATTGGACTTTGGCTCCCAAGTGTTCTCCTTGGTTGAGTAACCCTTCCACTTCACCTTATAGAAGTGTTCCATGGTGTCTGCATCGATCTGTGAGTCGACAATAGATTCAACCTCCCACTGTTGGCCCGACTTTTTGGTTTCTTGCTTTGCACCTGCTTGCACCTTCTTCCGACCACGCTTCTTCGGGGCGTCTTTCTTGGAGACACTTGTCTTCTTAGTAGTTGCTCTGGAAGCCTGAACAGGAGCTGCAGTTGGCACTCTGCCCGAGCGTCGCGGAGCCCCGGTGCCATAAATCTCCATCTGTGTCCGGCGATTTCGACGCTGTGATGCCTTCGACGGCGTCTTGACCTCTTTGGTAGCCTTCATTTTCTTGGCGGATTTCCGAGCCGACCCCGGCTCGGCTGGTTTGATAGATTCTTCACCCTGATCACTCTTTTCGGATGCAGCAATCACAGGCTCCACTGAGGAGGGGAGAGCTACAGGGCTGGTTTGCCGACTCTCGTAAAGTGGCGATTTAGTGCTTGCTGTTGAGCTTCTAGAATCTGATAGATGCAGAAACATGTCCAGGTCCTCTGCTGGGTTTATCTGGCTGCCGGCGGCGAAACTGACTGAATGTTAGCGGAGAACAAGAGAGAGACTCTTCTACGATGGCGCGTTCGTACGGTACGAATTCATCGGCTGGAACTTCAAGCTCCCTGCCAATGAACACAGTTTGAGCCATCTGGAGGAGAATCACAATTCCAGAGGAATTATCGGGAACCAAGTCAAATGTTTATGCTGGTTTTGCGATAATGTGGGGTGGAAATATTGCGAATGTTGGAGTTTGGGATGAAAGTTGCAAGTGTGGTTTGTGGATGAAGAAGAGGTGAGTTGAGAGTGGGAAGGGTTGTTGCGAGCTGCGGCTAGGTGGTATTTTTCAAGGGGAAAAAATGCACCTTCACTTTTGATTTTGGGGCTGCGCAACTGACTTCAAATCTCATTCAATTCTGAATAGGTATTCTTTCCACAACGTCACGCGTAGTTGGATCGTTTGGCCTTGTCAAAGTAAAGAGAGGGAGGCATGAGGAAGAAGCAAAAGTGTCACACAATAAGGCAAATATTCAACAATGAACGTTGCCCTTGCTATGCCCGAGTTCTGTGAGAGTCGGCATGTGTGATGAACGCGTGAGAGATCCCGCTCCAGTTGCGACGCGATCATGTTGGAACTGTAGCGCGCTCTCATTGCGACTGACGTGCAGGGTGGAGCGGGCTGCTTCTACTGCAGGTACATGATTTGCCACTTTTGATTAGTAATACATCATGGAATTCCAGCCACACGCACCCGCCACAGTGGCTGAAAGCTGTTCGCGCTAGCCAAGCTCTTAACGCGTGCTTCGTGAAACGGTCGCGTTGAGAGAGAGGTTGGCGCTTTTTGAGATTAGATGAAGAGTGGGCACGCCAAATCTGCGTCCAGATTCCGGTCCAATTGCCGACAACCCTTAATCGTACCTTTCAACTGCTTTTCGCATTTGACCTTCTCCTCGTTGGAATGATCCACCTGGATATCTGATGTTTGCCAATTCGAAGCAAGAACCATACTTGATCTAGATGCTCTCGAAATTTCCTGTCACACTTACCTAGCTGACCAAGATTGCCATTCACTGTTTGGCCGCAGTCATGGCATCTTCAGCATCAGGCCCTACAGTCATCGAATCGCTACCCCCCCCTCGGCCACCGACGCCTCCTCGCGATCTTCACCGACGTGAAGGCGTCTTGGATCTGGGCCTGAAGTCACTTGCTGGTCAATCACCTGGGCTTCAACCCCGAGCTAGCCTCCACACTCCCCCAACAGCGATATCTCCTTCCCCGTCAGCGACTGCGAATTCAAACCGGTCAAGCCAGGCTGCTAAACGCGTGGAGTGGTCAACGCACACCGACTACCAAGAGCCACCCGATTACAACAAAGACAGGCCGCGGAAATCCTCCCCATTGTCTGCCCCGTCGTCGGCGACCTCAAAACCGATCAAGAGCATCCTGAAACAAACGCCATCATCCAACATCTTCGCATCATCCTGGGACGGCAGTTTGGATGGTTCGCTTGGACAGGCCAGTATCACAGAGATGCTCGACTCCACCATCAAGCAGCTTGCCGGTGCCGACCGCGACTTTCGACGGGATGCCTACATGATGCTCAGCCGAGCATTGAAGACCTCCAACAACCTTCCCGACAGAGTGGCCCTGCAGGATAAGATGAGCCTGCTCATGCAGTTTATCCAGCGCGACGTTACCTCCAAGAAGGAAGATGGCTCCCCCGATACGACTCTTGTGAACCATGCCCTTGGTCTCCTTGCCACCTTTCTACACTTTCCTGCTATCGCTTCCACCATCACATCCGACTTCGCCGTCTTCATTATCGACCACTCTATTCGCTGTTTTGAGGATCCCACGTTATCAAAGGATGTGGCTCGTCACTTGATGCAGGTCGTTGCTTTCCAGAATTTCTCGGCCAAGGTGATGACACTCGACCGTGTTGGACGACTTGTGGCATCGTTGCACAAGATAGAGAATCATTTAATGGGCAAAAGCATTGTCATGAGTCGCATCCAAATTTATCGACGACTGGTCAAACAATCGCGGGTGCACATGCTGGCGCATTCGGACTGGCTGAAGGACATGTTCACTGACATGCTTAGTACTATTCGCGACATCCAGACGCAGGCAATCAACCTGGGTATGGAGGCTGGTTATACGCTGCGGACCGGAAACCAGCTGTTTCGAAAAGTGATCGAGATCCTTCAGACTACCAATGAGGACCAAAGATATTCCGATTTTTACATCCGGCGCCTTCAAGAGATGGTCAAGGATAGGCAGTTTTCAGCCACTGTGCCACAAGTTTGGAGCGTTGTTATTTTATGCCTCCGATGTCCTCTTGAAAGATGGGAGGACTACGGGGCTTGGTTTGCTCTTATTCAATCCGCCTTTAATTCTTCCGACACTAGGACCAAAATCGAGGCAAACTATGCTTGGAGTAGATACATTTATCTCTCCCTCCACGATAACCGAGCAACACCAAAGTTACTAGGCACCCTGTGCCAGCCCCTACTGAGTCAAATCCGACGAAAGGCCACCGCAAAGCAGCTCGAGGAGAATGTGAAATTACGGAAGACAGTAATTTCGGTTTTCTGCACACTCTGCTACTATGGACTGCGCCCCGGACACGACAGGATTGCACCAACAGAAATGTTTTGGGATAGTGCGCTACACCCCTTCATATCGCAACTAGCTGGATTAGATGGCACTCGTGAAGTGCGGCCGGATGATCTTTTGCAGGCGTCACGGATTCTCATTGGCTTGTTAGATGTGTCGACTCCGGTTGTGTGGAGGGAGGACCGCATCATGGATCTACCGCCAGTCAAGCCAGACGAGCTGCCCTCCATTGATTCTAAATGGATTAGGAAGAATTCCGACAGAATCTTCAGGCTTGTGGGGCCTCTGTTAGAAAAGAAGCTTCTGGATATGGCGAATATGGAGAGTTTGCCATACAGGCTCTGGCAAGCCTTGGTGGGATCGATCGCCGCTGCTTCAGCCAAAGACATCAAAGTCTCCGAAGACACCGCAAAGTTCATGGCCAGCGCTCTTGGCTTAATCTCTCGTATTTGGTCTCAAGGCTGCCTAGAAGGCGACGATGTCCTAGTTTCCAGGTTCTACCCAAGCGTGCTGAACCTGCTCAAGACCTTGATAAACGGGCTAGGGCACCTGCCATTCACGGAGAAGAGGTTGTCGATGACAGTCGCAAATACCTTTGAGCCAATTGCCACCCCATCTCAACGATCCGACCGGTCAGAAAAGTCTAAAGGTCTGGTGCGGAATTCCTTGCTTCATCTTTTCTCGATATTATCTGCTGTTCCTGCAGGCGCTTCGGACGATCAACACCTTGCAGATTTCTTCCTGTCTGCCTTCAGCCTTTTCCTTGTTGGCAAGCCAGATAAATTCAGGACGGACCTTACTCGCGAGCTTCTACAACTACTGCCCTCAAACTCGCTTTCCCCATTTGCCCCCTGGCTCCTAGGCGCCCAATCTCTACATTCATCATACACCGAACGCGCTGCTGCAGGGCCCCCTAGCACAGACAAGATCCTTGGGCCAGAATATCGCGAAGTCGTATCCCACTTGGAGCTTGGGTTCTCGTCATACCCCAATCTCCCTATTGAGCACTGGTTGACATTTTTGGATTCCTTCTCCAAGCATATCACTGCCGAGCTTGGCGATGCTGGCCGTGCATTGACTGTGACGGATCCACTGGCCAAGGTGCTCTTGAGCCAAGTTCAGGGCAAGCTGCCACAGCAGTCCCCTAAAGATATCAAGGCAATAAATGCTATCTTGGGAACTGCTAAATTTCCGCATGACAAGAAGGCGCTTGAAGTCGTCCGACGGAAACTCTGGGGTGACGTCCCCATGTCGAAAAACTCTGTGGATCCCTATGATCATCTTTACAAGCTTCTGAACTTTGAACTCAAATACATTTACGACAACCTTGCTGCTCTTGATGCTGAAGGCCAGATTGTGGAGTTTTTGACTGCTGTAAACTTCATAATTGGTGACTCATTTTCGCTGATGGGATTTGAATGCGTTTCCAGAGTTCAAGAGGGGTTGTCAGCCTGGTTCCAAGATGAAAAGTCTCAGCTACCTTCTCATGATGAAACTTCGCTGACCACTATTGTAAGTCAAACAAAAATCTGGTTCTTTCTGTGCCACATTTCCATTGACTAACCCACGAGTAGGTACGGAAA